AACAAGGATTTCTCAATAGGACAAACACAGATTTTGGCAAATTGCTGTAAAGTATAGACACAGGTGTGTCAAATTGTTGTAGATTGTAGACACGTGTGTCAAATTGTTGTAGATTGTAGACACAGGTGTGTCAAATTGCTGAAGATTGTAGACACAGGTGTGTCAAATTGTTGTAGATTGTAGACACAGGTGTGTCAAATTGTGGTAAATTGTAGAGACAGGTGTGTCAAATTGCTGAAGGTTGTAGACACAGGTGTGGCGCGAATGTCTGTGGTTAACCTGTAAACTGTTTTTTACGCTAAATTATCGTAATGGTGATTTGACAGATATGTGAGAGAGTTGTTCACGAAAGTCACTTCGGGTCCGGTACTCGTGGATATCTGTGGACCTCGTTTTGCGATGTACTTGAAATTAAGGATGCTTTAAATAGTAACACGAGCTATACAATGAATAAGAGACATTTTCTACTTCATTAACTTCCTTGTCTGTTAGATGTAGTTCTTGTCTTCGATGTCAGTGTTCTAGCCGTTAGTGATAAATAGAGAGATAACTGATATATTCGATATTACCGAGTCTTTTGTTACGTCTGAGATCGGAAATCACATCACATTGAAAATCGATATCCTCAGAATGTTTAAAAAGCTTGTCATGTTCCGCTACTGTACTGAATTTTCTCAAAAATATCCATACCTTTGAAACAAAATATGTCGGGCGCTTCTAGCTTGGGTCGTTTTACCACTTTTTGTGTGCGGGTTACGACCAGCGTTGTGATAATATTGTATGCTGTAATTATATCACTGAGACTTGAACTGATTTTGATATTTGATGTATTACATGGGGTACTCGTTTAGACAAATAGTATCTTTTTGTCTGTATAAACTTTTCGAACATTGTTTTGATGACACCCATTGTTCGTTTTGCAATATAACTGAACATTGGATCTGTAACTGTTTTATATGTTACCTGTAACTATTCTATATGTTACCTGTAACTGTTCTATATGTTACCTATAACTATTCTATATGTTACCTGTAGCTGTTCTATATGTTACTTATAACTATTCTATATGTTACCTGTAGCTATTCTATATGTTACCTGTAGCTGTTCTATATGCTACCTGTAGCTATTCTATATGTTACCTGTAACTGTTTTATATGTTACCTGTAACTATTCTATATGTTACCTGTAGCTGTTCTATATGTTACCTGTAACTATTCTATATGTTACCTGTAACTGTTCTATGTGTTACCTGTAACTGTTCTATATGTTACCTGTAACTTTTCTCTATATTACCTGTAACTGTTCTATAAATCACCTGTAACTGTTCCATTGTGTTACCTGTAACTGTTCCATTGTATTACTTGTAACTGTTCCATTGTGTTACCTGTAACTGTTCCATTGTGTTACCTGTAACTATTCTATAGGTTACCTGTAACTATTCTATATGTTACATGTAACATGTACATGTAAAACAGCTAAAGGTAAATCGAGATTGTTTTGTCTCTCTGTTATCCTAATTTGAGTACAAATAGAACATTGTAAAACAAATGTACTAGTAGAGACAGTCATGTTTAAGAATAGCAGGTTTAATTAAAACTTGACATGTGGAAAACAAAAACATAATTGATGAACAACATAAATGTATTTACATCCCATTGATGCCAAGAACAAAATACTGTGTAGTGCGCCCAACTAATATCAAAAAGTTCCAAGAAAATCATTCGCATGTATACAAAGATTTTCACATAATTCACGAGGTGAGAGTTTCCATAATTTTAATGCAAGGAACTGTCAACATTCATGTTGAGTTCTGTAGTGTCTGTATTGGGAGATTTTTCATCTTTTTCATACTTTTCACTTTCACTGTAAGGAAGATGATGGAGCTACTTCCTGGTGTTAATTAAATATATCTTGGTTAATCAAACATTTAGTGTACTTTTATTCTATGCGTGGATGGTGAAAAGAACATTTCCTATCAGAAATAGTATTATTCCGATATAGAGCACACATTCTGATATTCCAATTGAAGAAACTCTTTGTTTTTTTAATATAACATCCTGTTCTAAATGGTAAATCTACGTAAATAAACATATTACAGTGTCACATTTCTGGATTTAAATTGATTTAAGAACACATTTCACTGGAGAAATACATCCTTTTTTTCATTTGACCACATTCAAACATGTTTCATTGAAAATATGTTGTTGCAATGATAAAGCATCACCTAAAACACTGTTTTTATCATTCAAAGCCATTAGTTGAAAACAGTAGATTGGGGAAGGAATGCCATGCTTCACTGTCGAAGAACACAGTGAAAATATATAAGTGATATAAGTGAATTAGCAGGCCTAAATCACGGCTAAAGTTAGGAACACTTTGGTATATTGTTACCGGTAGCTGTGTTCTATGTATTGAGCAACATTGATTTGGTTGAACTCACCGAGGGAGAGCCGCCGTTGAAGTTTCAATGGGAGAACAATGGTAAATTGCACAATGAGGGATTTCACTCAACGTAAAATTAGTGGAACTTGTTTTAACTAAAAGTAAAGTTTTTTTTATTAATGTTAAGGAGCTCCGTACTTTAAGTTAGAGATAAACATCAATCTGTACATTATGTGTGAGTGAGGAACATTTCCTCTCACACATATTAAGAGTTAGATACGGGAGCAAAACAATAAATTAAACTGCATCATACATCTGTTTCCTCCTTCCAGAACCTGTCAGTGACGTTAAGAGCCTAAAGTTTGAAGCATAGGAAACGACGGTTGAAAATCCAACCATATTTTACGTTACCATAGCTACAAAGAATACCGTAGTTGCTTCACTAAGCAACAAACAAAGCTTTAAATGAATCGAAACAGTTGCAATTATGGAGAAAAGATGTAAATATACATGCTGAACGACGTCTTCTGTGTTGTATTAACAGTAGTATGAACGGAATGATTCATACAGGTTAGTGTTACCTATAGTTTGTATCATATGCATCAACAACCCCGCCCACTTCAGGTCGTGTTATAAAAACACTTCTTTGCTCGGTAATGCCTTAATCAAGGTTAAAGTTAGATCATAAATTACTTTTGTCTATTTACCCATGTAAAACAAAATATCCACAAAGTTGATTGCCTTCAGGCCGTCGACGGAAGAGTTACCGTTCACATCCACATTGTGATACTTAATAAATCATGTGTTTGTCATCCTTTTTGTTTTTAGATCCTAAAATGTTTGTATGTTGAGTTACTTAAAATGGTTTGTCTCTGCACGTGCCGCGAAAATTTGATAAATTGTGTTGTCCTTATCATATTTCTATGTGGGTATTCTCTGGTAAAGATTTTCCCAGCTAAATTCTATCAATCGGTGTTACTTTCGACACTCCAAACTAAGATATATGGACGTTTAAATGGGAAATGTAGAACGATAAAAACAAACAAATGGTAATGACCCTAATGTCTTTTGGATGGATTTTCATTCTGGTTTTGAGGAAAGTTATTTACCTAAATATGAATTCAAATGTTATTTGATATCATATGGGACCACGAGGAAATGTAGAGGTATATTTGTTTTAATTCGTTCAGTGTACTTTCAAAGAATTTGTGTTTTCCCCCACAAACTACAAACATGTCTATTTGAATGCAAAATATTTAGAAAAGCATAGGATTGGTGCGTTTTTATCTTCTTTTTTTTTTAACTTCTTACATTATGCCAAAATCTAATATGACACTGAGAACTATAAACTTAATACAGAAGTTTTCATCACATACTTAAAAGAGGTGCAATTTGTCGATTATTTTTTTTTACCTTTATTCATTCACAACTCACACCATTTCCTTACAACGCTATATTCGTTTACCTTCCGACATTAACAATATTCTGCATGTCACGTTTACGATATCATAAATAATTGCACGGCTCTGATTATACACACATAACTGATTTGACGCTCCTGTGCAATCATTCAAATACGAAATTTATTGAATTACGTGATAAGTGCAACACTGATTCTAAATTCTGACATGTATTTCTATTTTCGACAAGAATTAGAAAAGACGAAACAGTTGTATGATAAGTTTAATGTATTGATGACAATGGACATTATCTGCACATATTATCAAATATTCATAGAAAAATACTATTTGTTATTTTTCATACATTCGTATTAGACTGTTGAGTAGTCAGCATTAATGGTAGATTAAAGTCCCCAAGTAACATCTACATTCTACAACAATATGAATATTGTCTCGATTAATAACAAATACATGTTTGTGACGTTCTTTTAAAATCACGCAATATGCCAATTCGTTCAAGATGTAACATAACATTTGATTGGTCAATGATTTGCGATAATATAACAACGATAGCAATATTCTCAATGATATCAATGACCCCAACACGTTATGAAAATGGTTATAGCGTGGATCCGAAAGGTTAATTATTATTTGGTTTGATTTTAAATGTAACAGGTGTCATGAATCGTAGTAAAAGTAACTGATAATTCTCAAATTGTGAAAAAGGCGCTAAATAATCGTGTTTTGCCTATTTAAATGTAGATGCATTATCCAAGGGATAGAGGCTTCAACACTGTAGACCTCTAGCAGTTTGGATTATGATTGTTGTGTTGACATGTTATGGATTTACAGGAATGCTATGCTTCCCTTTGACGTGTTTGTAAGTATGAATTATTGTAATTATATTCTTCAAAGGTAATGAAAACTTGTTCACAGCAAGATTGTACAAAGACATACATGAGAATAACATCTTTCAACAAGAATTGAAATTTAAAATTACATAAAGGAGATTCAAATAATCAACCAAACAGAATTATACAGTTGTTTCGTCCTTCTAGGGTTCCTCATTGATGCCGAGGGCCTAAATTTTGAATCTTAGCAATAGAGTATAGAAAAACAAAATTGATCGAAAGAAATATAAACAAAAAAGACGAGGAGGTAAACTGACTGAATAATTCAATAAATTTTACAGTTTCCATCTGATAAGTATATGGTTACCTGTTTCCTTGTTTGGTTTTCTTCTCCTATTGGCGACTTTCGTGATCTTAACACAATTAAGGCTTCACCATTCCTCTGGCAGCTTGGACGGCTGGATGTCTTGCGCAGAATTCCGGAATACGACTTTGATTCTTCATCGCTGGAACAAAATTACGGTTGGTACAGATTGCTTTCCAGAAACTGATATAGAACAAATAGGTTTCTCCTATGTCAATGCATTCTTTGCTGGAAAAATTGTTTTAAAACAGAATGTTATGGGGTATTTATCAAAACAGAAAAGAAATAAGCATTGTGTTGAGAAATAAAGACTGAATCCAAAACATAAAAAGTGAATTTGAATATGATGATCTCAAAACAATTACATTTTATTTGATAAAACCGAGTAATTTATTTTCATTTGGAATCTCACTAAATCTAAAGGATAATTAGATATCTTTTACAAAACAAGGTCATCACACACTGTTTACTACCACTGAAACACGCTCTGAAGGACAACCTCGATTACATTTGATTTATAGCAAATCGATGAATACACCTGCTTCATTCGATCATCGATCTTTAGAAATCTATGTCTCATAGCACGAAAGGAAGACCAATCAATTAACAAATCTTATTCACAGATGTCTTTATTGTATGACAAAGAGTGCAATATTTCCATTTATTTTGTCACGTATGCAAAATGTTATCAATTATATACTTAGATAATGCATGCACTGTACATTGCAGAATGTTTATAGATTGTGGAAATGCAATATTATTCATCAAAATCACCAACCTGAATGCAAAAATCACATGAGACGAGCTCCATGTACGAAATGTATTTTGTCTTTTTTATGACCTTCTCATTTTAGACTTTGTGTATTAAGATCGTGACATCTCAGTCGGTAGAGCTGTTAAACGTTTAAATATATTTATGGGAATATCCCAGATTTGCGATGCGATACCGTAGTTCTCCCTACCAGTGGCTGTATGCGTTTCCCAAATTGTGCTGACCTGGTTGTGTTCTTGGCTAAGATATGTTATCCTTACGGCTTTGGACTGTATGCGACAGGCCTTCTGTATTTTATTCAGTGAGAAAGCCACCACCAACAACAAGAAGGAGACCCTACCTCGGGGCGATAAACTTACAAAGTGAATGACAATCAGCTCGCTTTGTAATACAATGTTTCAATTAGCTGGCATGTCCTCGAGGTTTTAAGGGTGGTTACTAATTTATATTTCTATTATCTTGCACATTTTTCCAAACACACCTTTTCATTCTGAAATAAGGTCACATACGGCATGTCTGATTATGCAACAAGACCAATTAAAATTATTCCAATTATGTAACACGTGAACGCGTTACGAGTATTTTAAGCCTTTCGGGTAATTTTTCTAATTGTAATTTATAATTGAATTTAAATCCCTAGGATTCCCATTCTGCAGTAACCATATTTGAGTTGCAGAAATGAAGATATAGTGTAGTTTTAATACAAATGAGATGTTTGATATATTTGGTATATTGATTCATTGAATCAGGAAAAAGGCTTTACTTTTAATAACTTTCAAATTTATTACACTCAAACATTTACGGTTATAAAAGCTTTACATTGGTATATATCCTTTTTATATCGTCCATATTTTCATCGATTTTGAATTTGAATAAAGAATATATTTACAAATCGGTATTTTCTTTTTCTTTTTGAAGTGATTTATACGAATTATTCTAAGTAAGACTGTTTTTGCTACGATTTCGATATATTGGTCAATTTTATTCTCTTCCCCAAACTTTTGAACCATCTTGAATACTAAGGGGTTTAATAATTTCATTTCAGTATGAATAGATTGTTTGATGCGTTCGTCGCAGTTGTGTAAGAATCCTGTGATAGATCTATAAAACTTAAGGATTTAAAATCTGAATGTAGTCATACTGTCAACCAAGGATTTAGCTAATGACCCGGTCATTGTACTGTTAAAATGACAGAAAGTGACAACACAGGATTTAAACCAAGATAAGCCATCTTAATTGAAATCCGGAAATTACATTGAAACCGTATTAATACTTGTAAAATCAAGTGTTTTTGAATGACAAGAAAGAAAAACTAATTGTCATTGTTCTTTATTAGAAATTGGTGATTTTGTGAAGTTTTATTACACTAAGAAGTCATAAATGTCATCTTTTGATGTTGATTAAAACAACTCTTTTGACTGCTCCCATTTACAGTGAACTCATCATATGAAAAAACAGGAAACAGCATTTATTTGAAACGGTGTGATATTTCATTCAAAAGATGTTGATTTCAGACGGAAACAAGCGTTTTTATTGTTTAAAGACGCCTTCCAAGTAAGATGTATGGCTCGTTTTTGACAGAATTCTGTTTGAGTCTGATATCAAAACGATTGCTTATTGAAATGGAATCCCTACTAGTTTCCATCATGCAATTTGTTACCGCCATCCTCATCAAGATACTGTAACTAAGTGCTTGAGCACAATTCAGATACGGCTGGTTGAAAATCAAAACTTCATCTGGTGAATTCAAAGATTCAGTTTGAATCGATTGAATTCTTACATGTTCAGATAAATCACAATAACAAATTAAATATTGCCGACGCGTCAAAAGAATCCTTATTCAAATTTCTATTCGATTAATGAAGAACATTTTTACCGAAAGAAAGTTTAACACAGTCCTCATAAAATGGACAGGAATAATACGACAATTTAATTTTTTTTTTCTTTATCGGTGACGATATAACATGCGATTGTGTCCTAGATTCGTAATACTTAGAAGTGAAGTTCATTAAAGTAATATTAATCCGCTTATATTTGTTTCGTTCTACTAAACTTATATCACTGTAATTATCTGTATCTTTTATAGACAAACTTTGAATTCTGATAAATTGCAATTTATGTTAAACGGGAAAAAAGGAAAAAGAACATAGAAATGGCCTTTCTCATTGTACACATTCACACATTACACAACAATATAAAGCCGGCGTTTCTAACATACGTTTTATGAACAATATTTAGATTCAACAAAAGGATTATTGGAATCGAATATCGACCGAAAGAGGGATTAGTCAGTGATGCTACGAATTTTGAAACCTAGGCGATAATGGAAGAAAACAAATCAATCAGTTGCCAAATAAGTACATAAATTTGTTAATATCTACATATATATATATCTAATCATTTTTACAGAAAGTCAAGTGCAAGTGTCTATTCTGAACAGCAACACACTGCTATTTGAATGAATCAAAATGCGGCATGCAGGTCACTGTTTGAACTGTACTGCATTCGACAAATGTTACTGTAACTTCAATATTACTACATTACACCGCGGTTCGTGACTGTAATTCTAAAGTGTTTCGTTTTTAACACGTTTAACGTTCTGATTTATTTTTGTTGATGTCACGGGTACTCTTAATCCTCGAATCCTCGAATACATCGACGATTAAATCTAGTATTAATAGATTTCTTTGAAACTATCTTTCCACGAAATCCACAAAAATAAGATATATTTGAAAGGCATTATGCCTCCGTGGGGACACCATTCGTGATAGCAAAACAGTCTTTGAGGGTTCGGGCATTTAGTTGAAAGGCAATATATGAAAGGTGTGGGTCAACAGTCGAGACTTAACAAGTAATTCAGACAATCTCGACGTGCCGGTGTCATTGCTTTTGTACAGATTGGCATTGCCATTACCAAACCGATCCGAGCTACCATTGATATAGAGCCATATATCAAATTTTATTCAAATCTGGTGGTAAAACGATATTTGACGGAAACAAAGACGTTACTTATTTTAGTATCATTGACAAATATTCTACTTGTTTCGGTGATGTAAAACTTAACGTGTGTGATGCTTCTTAGTTTGCCTCTTTGTTCCGTTGCGTTATACCTTGTGACATTTCATACTTGAATTGACCAAGGGTATCGTCGATGAAGCAGAAGACGCTGACTCTTCCGGAACACTTGGCCCTATTCCCCTTGTATTTTTCTCATTCGAGATCTCATTAATATTAAATGTTATTTTTAATTTAGTTCAAATCTGACAGTAATGAATAGTTATTTAAATCAAAGAAATTTTCTATTTGAAAAAAAATTTAAGTCCTGCATCTCTGGCGAATGTTTTGACTAATATCAAATCAGTCCTAGACCTCATTGATATAAAGCAACATACAAATGTACTTAGTTTAGTAGGTTTAAAATGAGAAGGTAATAAAATTCAATGTGTGAAAAATGCATGGCAATATGAAAGCATTATCTTTAGATGAGAGCCAAAGTGTGCATACCAACAGATAGACGGACCAAAACCAAGATGCTCCGATTTTCGATCTCAGGGAAGTAAAAATAGTTTTAGCCTCGCAAAATTTTATTGATTTACAGCAACTCAGTTATGTCAAGGTCACAATGTCTGTGATTAAACATTAAAAAATTCAAAAATTTGAATAAATCTAATTGATATAGTAAATATATATTTGATTTTCACATACAAAAAAGTAAATTAACTGTTTTAAACATAAAAAACCCAAAACTATCTTGTATGTGGGAATAATGCACCTTCCCATTTAGAATTTTTATAATTCTTTCGATCACTTTGGATTTTCCTCAGTCGATCCCTAGGCTTCAAAATAAAGACCTTTAGCTTTACTGACGAGTCCTGGAATGACTAAACAGCTACATAATGCTAACGAATTCCCATTGAATTAAAAGGTTCACGTGTATGTCTTTTGTAAAATCTTCTCATTTTTTTTCTTTTCGCTCTCGAATGAAAATTGTACATTTTCTCCGTTGTTTAATTAAACCCTAAAACAAGTATTGGCAACAACAGGTCAAAACGAACATTTCCTGGTATACATGAGTTTCTGTGTAAATCTTTTCTTTGTTTTCATTCTGCCCCAGCTTTACTGAGTTGAAATTTGGATCATCGCATCTGAATAGATGACAAAATGCAACAGGTAAGTTTTTGAAAATTGCGTTCAATATGGAATTTTAAGGAAATATAAGACGGATCGTGTACAGTCGTGCTAATTTGATCGTTATGAATCATAATATGTAACGATAAATTACATTGTTTTATCTAAACATGTTTTTATCCATTATAGCGAAACCTATTTAGGCAAATTGTAAGCCATGGTTGAAGACAAAAAATACTGCAGGTCTTACAAGCAACTAGCTGCAACGACATAACACATGTTTTATTGCATGCACTTCATTATAAGGGACGGTGGCAATATTGTCAGTCACTGGTCACCCAGTAACCAACAGATTGCCCACTACTCATATTATCCTCAGGGGTCAAGATGAAAACCGAATGAGTACCTTGGACACTATAAAGATAATCGTTTGACTCTTAAATATGAAAATCTACTCACCCGATATAATTGGTGGCGTCCGTTCTGCGGTATCTCATTAGCCACAAGCGACGACATATGCTGGCATAGGCAAACGACATAAGGGAGAAAGGTATGACCAATATGACGAGGAACATGTAAATGCCGTGCATCAATCTATATGTAGTATTTTCTTGGTTCAGTACGCACCAGTAGGCAATCTGTCGATGTCCCACACGCTTATGACTCTGTCAATATGCAAGAATGATTCCGTTGAAAGCAGCGATTTGTGAAGGAATAGTATATATATTGTATCTAAATACTACAAGGGCCCTTTCACAACAGTAAACCTTTTTCAAGGCATGCAAAAATCTAACAATTCACGTAGCCTTCCTTGACTTTCTAGCCTATGGTTAGCACTATACAATGAAGGTACAAGAAAACACTAACAAGATAGGAATAAGGGGATACAGCAAGCAGGAATTTTCATACTCAAATGCTACAAGAATGGTGAGACACCAAACCGTAGAGAAGATTTGAAACAAGTAATCAAATATTATGTATAACTTGGAAATATTGTTTTCTGTATATTTATTTAGACACGTTATGATAGGATCTCTAATATCCAGAGGGTATTGTTGATAGTAAGTCAGAATTACAAGATATATTTGGCTTTCTTGATTTAGATTTCCGTTTCACAAGATTTTGATTCTTATTGTTGTGTTAAAAATAAACTCATGCACTTTTGAACAAGACAGTTATATGACACTTTAAACGTAAAGATACCGTTTTCAATTATTCTAACTAAATGGATATTCCAGATGTAATACACACATAGCATACAAGGAATGAATTAATAAAACCTTGGATCTGTATTTTGTTTGTTCTTTTCGAGAAAGGGAAACTAATTTGTGGAATTAAAGTTGTCAGCTATTATTAATTTGGTAGCGAGTTGATATATTTGATTATAATGATGGGATATGAAGCTGTTGTATTTCTGAAGAAATATATGCTTTCTAAATGAGTCAATTTGGAATTATACATTACGACAGCCATGAACAGTTCTGGCTGATAAATTTCAATTACTGTTTTCATATTGATTGAAACATATTCAACGAGATGGTTGACAAATTAGCCTAGTGATCGATTTATTATTTTGTCGAGTAAAATGTACTCTTAAGAATAGAAAAAAAGAATATTTGTTGACATTTGACTAATGATCTCTGCCCGATTCACTTAGTTAATTAAATCAACTTGTCATCAAATATTGATGAAGGTAATGAGTAGAAACCTGTCGCATCATGTTTTTGCTCGAAGCAGTAGCACCATGTACAGAAGGGTTCCGTTTCTAGGAGGTTAATTTCGGGTCATGGCATTGGAATACCAACACTTACAACATAAATTTCTAAACGAAAATAGAAATAGAGAAGAGAAGTGGGTGATGAACTCATTTTTTTAAATAATATTTTAGGACAGGCCATCAACTGTTGTTGCAGCATAACAAACGGTTTTGTCTGCGCGATATTTGCTCATACTCCTGTGCTTTGAATCTAATAAAACCCTTTTTCTGAAATAATATTTATTGGATTGATTTTATGTCCATCCCTTTCTATTTCAAATGTCTGTATTTCTTACATTCTTACATCTATCGCCAAATTGCTGTTTGAATTTATGTTTTCCTTTCGCATTCTAGCGACTGCAAGACTTTGTTGGTGCATGTAAGGAATGCAGTGTCCGCTTTATTCGGTGACACATGAGTCGCTCATCGGAATAAAAACCCAGACATTCTTTACGAATGTGGAGAACGAAGTAGTGTCTGAAAGCAGCTATCGGATATTTCTATTCTGATCACAGCTTTAAATTGTTTTCTTTCTTTATGAAGCAGGGAATTACAAACTGTGTAATAGAGCGTCTATGCTGAACATGTTCAGGATCAGGTATTAAATTAATACCAATGAAGCGGTTGTAGAGTTTTGTTTTGTCTATGATAATTTCATCACAAATAGACAGAATCTTCTCTATAATGGCGGAATGCATGTTCATCGTCTGCACTGTAATTGATGTTTCATCGATGGAATAGCGACCCGAGAGCTAGAAAAACTTTCATGTATAATTCGAAAATGAAACAGAAAGTAATCGATCAAACATGAAATGAGCTACAGCCAAGCACTCATATCAAGTTCCCTGATTCATAATGATATGTACAATGAAATTCGTATAATCAAACAAAATTCGAATAGTTTTGTGCGGTACAGTGTATTTCAAGAGCGATGTTGACTTTTGCTGTGTGCATTAAGCTCACTTGCCCTATTAGTTTGCTTTCTATTCATCTAAGCTTCCACAGTGTTGTTTGAAACATGTATATATTATTATTTCGTGTGATTGTTACATTTGCCAATATATTTCAATGGTAAATAATGCCTAATCAACATACGTTTAAAATTCTTTGGTTTTATTGGCAGTCAAAATAAAAAAATCACCATTTCAAAGACCTGAAGTACTAGTAATACATGTTTATAAAGGCAGTGAAATTTAAATCCGTTGAGAGAAATAGTATTTCATTCAATATTTCTAAAAAATTAGTCCGACAGGTACAAAATCATGATATTAAAATAGAATATCGACAGCCCATATCAATTAGCCAGCCAGAATATATGGTTATACAATTTCTTGTATTAAAAGTAATTTATCTGAAATGAGATCAATTTAAGATTTCGGAACCCACTTTTTCTTGTTGGCTTGAATGCAAAGCTGCATTCGCGAAGATATGTAGTGTCATTGAATCAAATACAGGTGCTAAACTAAATGTTGTGAAAATAATTGAATATCGAAAGTGAACGAGATTACACGGATGGAAATGAATTTACCACAAATGTGATAGCTTTTCGTACTAAAGAAATTGATAAGTGTCCTTATTTCTCTCCTATGACCGATAATTAAATGAGAATCGCGATAAGATTTATGTACTGGATAATCAGTAAAGTAGCATCAGCAAACTTCGTGATGTTAGTGATTACAAAGTCTATAACACGCCAAGTTAGTGACACCATTACTCCTTCTTAATAGATAGGGATGAATGGAAGAGCCACTCTCGTATTTTGATATGTTTGCGAATGACACAAATGAGGTTTCAGCTAAGTAATGGAAAACACCTTTTTGGTATCAGCTTTGATACATCAACTTATAATTGCTCCTCATGGAAGTCGGAAAAGAGCCAGAATAATTTTCATTTATAACGGATATATATATAATTTTGCATCAAGGGGGTTACTGATTTAATTTCAAATAACAAAATGATGTTTTGAATTGTGAATGTATTGAAAACTAGCTGAAAATCTTGAAATATATAATCGATAAGTGTACAAAACATCTGGTTCTCAATTTTTTGAATATCACATTCTCTTTTCAGACAGGACAATGGAACTAGATGCGCCAAATTGTAAACCAATTTAAATGATACCTTAAAAATGGATTTCAAGTCATTGTGGCACAATAACCTATCACACTGGAAGAAACACATTTCTGGAAAGATATCAATGTATAAACATGCTGTACTTTAACGTGTTCATTCTCACTAATCAATTATACTATATAGCTTTTTATCGTTTCTTCAAAGCTAAAATGCAAAGCATTATCAATATTGTATTGATATAAAAAATATCATGATTTTGGTCTTCACAATAAAATAACTCTTCGTTTGAATGAAGACAAAACAGTCGACAGGAAAAGACAACAAAATCGAGAAGATACTGCATAGGCTTTCAATAACAATGGCTAATTGACTTTTCTAATCTATACTTTGAAGTTTGATAATTTCGTTGTAGATAACATTGTTTGCTTTTTGCACTTTTTATTATCTAAACATTTCTAATAAGGAAATCTGCAATGCAGAATTATTATTGAAACGATAGGATAAAGGTATCTATACAAAACAGCAAAACTGATACTCATATTTGATACGATAATTCTTCCCCAGAATGATGATTGTGCAACATAAATAATACATCAAAATCCAATATAGACTGGGCATAAAGATATATATTCCGGAATGGCAAACAAGCGGCCAGCTTAGGATATAACACACATCGTTATGTGGCTGTCTCGACTTGAAAGCAAGATAGTCATCTCAGAAAGGAAAAAATATCACCACGAGGGAATAAAAATTGAAATATCTTTCATGTGAATAGTTTTTAATGACGTCGAACTAAACATGTCACAAGCTTTTAGCGTTCGAAAATTGTTTTACAGATTACTGTACTTTTCGAAACGAAAAAGGGACAGCAATTTCATAACCAGGCGAGCTACTTATTCCTTTCTTTGTTTGATACAGTTGCAATAACATTTAATCTCAAAATAAAGATAAAAAAGTTAAAGACAAGGAAAAAAACTTATCTTGTGACTTCATGAAAAAAACCCACTGTAACAGGTATGCTATTAATATAGAAACTACAAAACTGAAACAAATTTACTATTGGTTTGATATTACAAATTAAAAGAAGGAAGAAAAAAAAATGATAATTGATTTAGCCTTTGGAAGAAAAACAGACATATTCAAATAAATATTAAAACATATCCGTGAATAGGTGTAAAGGAATATCGTAATACATTGCGAAATATCGACACCAAACTGGTGTTTGGTATCAAAGAGTTTTTTCTTCGGTGTCTTTTTACTTTGAAATTTTGGCATAGATTTAGTATTTTGTTTGATGTGTTGTTTTTTTTTAAACATATTCTTCATTTTACATCTAATCCTCTATAAAATGGTAACTTGACCTACATATATGATACAAGACTGTCAGTTAGTATTTATTTAAATTTTCGATACCATGACATGATAGGTTCCTATGGGACATCAGCTGTGCCACATACAACCGTGAATGAAGTAATGCAAGATCAATATTTCTGCCGTAAGTTTCTACGCCAGATTATCAAGTGATGTATATGGCTACTCTTCTTTGTCATAAACTTGAAACTTAAGACTCTTATGTATTTTGATGACATGTTATAACCTACTTGTTTGTTATCCTTGATATTAAATTTCTTCCCGCTCTTTCAATAAAACAACTGTAGTTCCATTTAATTTAAATTGCCCACCAAAAGCACGTCAAATGAATTTCGTTAATATTTAGCATTTTTGTGTTTTGTTTCATTGTAAGAAATATTTAACCATTCTTTATTTCTTTATCTGGGAGTAAGGCATATGTTTTCCCTTAAGCTGTCCCTTTCATCGTCAATTTAACAGTTGATT